AACCACTCCAGCTCAAGCTTTGTACTCAAACCATTCGTATGCTAATATCGAATATGTGTCAGCAGCAGCATCAGCAGCTCCAGCATCTGACTGATTTGATCCACGTTGGAAATTATGATATTTACTATTTACGGTACTCATTCGCAGAGGTCGCCGAGTTAAATGAGCCGTCTCTTCCAGCGGCTTCTAAGCCGATGACTAAACCTGAAGGCTTGTGGCATTGTTTGAGATGTTGATAACACAATTTTCAAAATATGTGAAAAAGAAAAATAAGATGAGGCAGAAGAATGGAAAAAAGAACACTTGAGCGCGGCTTTCACATGCTTACCAAGAATTTGAGTTTGCGGTTGGCTTCGTAAGATTCGTTTGACTTCAAGTTTTGTTGGGTTTCTTTACGTTATTTTTTCATTTTTGAGCGACTTCTGTGGATCTTTGCGTTGGCTGCCGCATGTGGCATGTGGGCGTCCTAGACAACAGGCAGCGACAAAGGGCGTTATTAGTTCAAAGTCGTGAACAGGCGTGGGCCGGCTGCTGCTGCAGGTACTGCGAGATGTCCTAGATAGCAGCGAGTGTAAAACAGATTTCCGGCTAACTGCCTCGTTGAGTTCTGATCTACAACTGCTGGCTAACAGCTGTAAGCGCGGCTCAAAAGTAAACCAAGACAAAGCAATTGACTCTTTAACCCGCATTGCTGTGCAAATGAATAGCGGCAATTGCAGCAAATATGCATAAATAGCAATAAAATTAATTGCAATACCCGCTGTCTGTCTGCTTGCATGTCTTTCTCTCTCTCTCCTCTCTCTCTCGCTGTCATTTGCCACGCAATTTTCACGCAAGAGGAGAGAAGAAAAGCGCCGCCAGCATTGAAAACTTGGCAACTTGACAAATGTTGCGTTGCAGTAAAATTGTAAAACGCAAAACGAAATAAAATAATAATAGTAAAAGTAGTCATAATAAAAGAGCACAGCATAAAACTAGACAAGGCAATTGCAGCTAGCTTGATTGATGGCAGCGCCGCCAGCAATAACAGCAGCAGCAGCACAGCAGCAGCAGCAGCAGCACAGCAGCAGCAGCACAGCAGCAGCAGCAGCAGCAACAGTTGCTGCCAATTTAGCCAGACTGGTGTCAGCTGCTGGCAGGGCTGACTGTCTGACCGACTGTCAAAATCAGAGCCAGAATGCAAATGCCTGAACAGTGGAAACTTGGCCTGCAGCATCAGCGATTCCAATCAATTAGCTGTTGCTGTTGTTGTCTCGGCCATTGGGTCAAGCCGATAATCAATAAACTATCGTATTTTATTGATAAATTATGCGCTGACTATCGCGACACCGATCGGCGTCGCTTTACACATGTCCGTGCCTGTGTATCAATAAATACTAACGGTAATTGCAGTAAGATCTCTACCCCTAACACTCCCCCTTCTGTCTCTCTGTCACTCACTCACCATCGTTCGCACTCTTAAGTCTCGCTGATCGCACACACAGCTTCCCATCGGCCAACATCGCCGAAAGTCTCTGTGCGGCAAATACTCAAGTCTCTTGGGCTTTATTTTTTTTCTTCTTTTCATCTTGTTGTTGTTTTAGTTGTTGTTGTTGTTGCAACACTTCTCGACTCCAGTTTTGTTGCTCAGGCCCGGTTAGGCTATAGCCACTGTATCATTAAATTGGTAACACATTCAGATTCCACTTTCATACCGGATAACCCATATTTTGTATTATTTTGTATTTAATTATTATTTCAGCTGCTGGCGCTTTTTTGTTTAACAATTTCCAAATGGCTTTTGCCTCTAATGAAGTGCTGTTAGTGTGTGTCTAAGGCGGAACTTATTAATTTTTGTTGTTGTTTCAACAAACAGATTCGAGATTCGAGAAGGCAAAGGAAACACTTGACCATTGTTTGTGATCTGTTTTTTGAATCCATTTGTGTTCAAGTGTTAAAGAGGAAGTACAGAGATTTATAGATTATGTTTGGCCTTAGCAGAAAGTGTTTATGAGTTTTGAACAATAAGTAGAAGGGGGAATCGGAAATGAGAGTAGGGTGAGGGCTCTTAACATGAGCTAAAAAGTTGTTAGAGAGTAACACAGTTTTATATCAAGTGCCAACAGCTTGTCTTCAGCTATAAGGAATATCCCTTAGGTTTCCTCTAGTTGACTTTCAACTTCCTTTAATCTACTACTCCACTTCATAAAGTGTTCAGCCCTTTCCCTCTCTCTTCCTTCATTTATCATGAAACTGATCTTATATTAAATTTTTCAGAAATTCGACTTATTTCCTTTATATATGTCTACGTTTATTTTATCAAAATTCAAGCCTTTTGTGCCACATTCCTCTCACTTGATCGCTCTGGTAATCAAATTGCAATAAGCTCAAGCCATTTCTTTCTGATTGATTAGCTTCTATCCACTTGCCTTTCTAATTCTCTACGAATCTAATATTTAAATTGCAATTACTCCGTTGCATTTAAATCTCATCTAATGCTGCCGTCTCTCTCTCTCTCCTTGCCTTCCTTTCTCTGACTTCATTCATGTTCTTGGTAGTCAATCTCCACTCACCAGACTCTTTTACTTCTTTCTTATTAGCCTCCCATTAACACAGAATTATCCCACATGCAGAACTTAATTATTTTTCAAAGCGTATCAGCACTTCGGCTCTGATTTTCTAAGCTCCTCCACTCGGAGAGCTGTTGCATTTTATGATTATTGTGTGATCGCGTTTTAATCACATGCAATTGAACCGAGTTGAGAGTTGGAGCTGACTCTAAGCTTTAGTGGCACATGTGAAAGATGGCCAAGTGCGGCACTTCTTTGGCACTCGGAACGGGTTTGCTGCAGCTAATCACACCCGCAGCAGCTGCTCCAGCTGGAGCTGGAGTTGGAGCTGGAGTTGGAATTGAAGCTGCAGCTCTGGAGGCTTCTAACTGAGAGTCGCTCTGCCCACATTCACATCGCGTGCTGCGGTTTTTCTCTTTGGTTGTTGTTTGTGCAGCGAAACATTGTTGTGGCTGTTGTTGTTGCTGTTTGGCTGGAAATCATCTTCAGCTATAGAGTTTTTACCGGAAGCCAAGTGCCAGCAAGTCAGCTAGCTATCTGGTTTGTTTATGTAGGCGGCGACCAGTTATGATTGCATTTGCTCTCCTCTAGTTGTTGTTTATAATTCAATTATGTGCACGTATGCCAGCCACAGGTGGAAGAGGTGCATAATAACAGTTCTGTTTGTGCGTTCTGCCTGTGCCAGTGCACTCCATGGCAGTTAAGTCACATGCAGTTGACTGGCTCAACTATCATTCGAGTTGAAGTGGCCGCAGGCATTATGAATGCTCATTTAGATGCTAGTTTCGAGAAATTGGCACAAGAACCAGATCAGCAGATCAGCTATCTAGCTTAGCGAAAGGTCTGCCCAAGATAAGACAGTTTAGCAAATTGCTGATTTATTTATGTGTATATTTATATTCTGCATATTTGATGCTATAAGCTGTTTGGCTTGTTACATTTTTATGTTTTTATTAGCGGCTTCTTCTTCACATTATGCATAGAATTTAAAAGTCAAATCAATCTTTGCTTTTTATCGCCTTATATTAAAACTTGATTTTTTTTAAATGGTCGATATGTCTATTAGTAAAAATTTACAGTTTTTAAAATCTTTTTTAATGGATTTTTTAAATTCTTAAATACTTTATCAATGGAATTTTTGGAACTGAATAAGATTTTTTATATTCTAAGGTTTTTAAATATTGTGTTCTATTTTCTAATAATTTTTATAACTTTTATAACTTTTTTTTACTTTACTTTAATTTTTATAAAAATGAATTCTTAGACTTTCTTGCTTTGAACAATTTTCGATTAATCTTTACTTAAATATCTTCTTTCAATTGCTTCTCAAAATGATTTAAAATTATTTAAATTTGTTTTAAAGAAATTCCGTTCAATGGAATTCCTGGAATTCTTTGCTTCAGCTTTATTGATGGACAGCAGAATGTCAAACTTTTTCAATATCGTATTCAAGCACGGCTTATACACACTTTGGGCAGCAGCTGCTGCTGCATTCATAACTTCCAGATAATGCCAATAATATAAGCTGGATCCATTAGCCGCATGAGCAACGCCTTCCGCGGCGGATGGCTAGCGCAAGATGGAAAGAGAGGGCTTTGCCTAAGAGCACTAAGCGCAAAGCGGCTTAATGCACGCACACACGCATACACACGCTTACATAGAGATACACACACATATACACACACACACATGTGGCTGACAGTTGCTAAGCTGCAATTGCTGCCAAGGCTTTGGCCAACACTCAAAGTGGCCGCCATGGTGCAACTTATGGGGCAGCAGTTGCAGTTGCAGTTGCAGTGGCTGATGATGATGAAGATGAAGATGAAGATGAAGTTATTATTATCTGACAAGGGCATCAGCGCCGCACGGCCAACTGACTGCCTGGCTGCAAGCACTTAGCGCTGAGTTCGTCTTCTCCTAGCTATCTTTATTAGAGGCGTGACTAACAGCCGCCCTCCCAGCCCGCAGGCCTGCCGCAGTGGCCAATGTGTACGCTTTGCTATTTGCTGAGCAGCAGCCATCATTATTCGATGTGTAAACGGCGGCGGTGTCCGCAAATTTGATTAGCTTCAACTGCAGCCCCAACAGCTGCCTCGTTCGATCCGATGCTTCCTTCAGTTGTTGTTGCTGTTGTTGCAACAACCGATACTATCTCGATGCAGACTCGAAAGTGTTAGATTTTCCTGCTGCTTTTATTTTGTGTTCTCTTCTCTATTCTGCGCTGCATACGAAATGAGGCATTTGGAAAGTCTAGAAAATTATATGCAGCAGCAGATCGATTCATTTTTACTTTTCAGCTGTGAAAGTGGCCAATCCATAAATCGTGCAGCTCCCACCAATTAGTGTGCAGCCTGACAATGTAGACAAACGAAAAAGAAAGCAATAAAAATAAAAATAAATATATATTTAAATATACAAAAATTCCAGTGCAACACAACAAGAAAATGTATTAAAAAATAAAATAAAATAAAATAAAACAAGAATGTCAATGCTAACAAGCAGTGGGCAGGAGAGAAAAAAGAGCCAATGAACTAAGGAAAATAATTACAAGCCCAGAACAATAATAATAAGCAGCAACAGCAACATGAGCAGCCTGTCAGCAGCAGCAGCAACAACAGCAACAACTGCAGCAGCACCAGCAGCAGCAGCAGCAACGTCGAGTGCTGCCACAGCAACGGGCAGCTTGGAGCCGGCTGTGGTGCCACGTACCGCCAATTTGCTGGCATGCAAACAATGGTGGCGCGTCTGCTTCTTGTATGGCGACCAGCAGAAATATTATCGACAGCTCTATAGCAAAGCGGCTGCCCAGAGACTGGCGGCCAGTGGCAGCAGCGCCAACGAGGCTAATCATGAAAATGACAATGCCAGCAGCAACAGCAGCAGCAACAACAACAACAATAACTGCCAATTGAGGGGAACGCGGAGCGATGAGTACGATACGGTTGGCTTTGGCACTGGCGATTGCGATTTTATCGCAGCGCAATTAGATGCCGGCGAAGATGCGGACGATGGCATCGATCTGGGCGATAGCAGCAACCACCAACAACAACAGCAACAACAGCGTTACAAAAACACAACAGCAGCAGCAACAGCCACAAGCAATCGTCCGCTGTTTCCCGCCAAATGTGAGACATCGACAACGGCGCCGCGTCGCAGCAAAAAGCTGCTGCGTTCGCTGCGTGCCCATGTCAAGGGCGAGCCCAAGCACAAGGAGCAGCAACAGCAGCAACAGCAGCAGCAACCGTTGCCGGCAGAGGAGCCTACCAAACGCAATGCCAAGGTAACCGTGCTGGACGATCCCTTTTTGTTCGGCATCGATGCGGATCATTTGGGCGATCTGATCCGTGGCAAGCACTACAATACCACGGATGCCACGGAGCACATCGCCAAGTATTACAGCAGGCAGCTGGAGCAGCAGCTGGAGTCGAGCTGCACCGCTCAGGTGCTGGAAATAATCGAACAGTCCGAAGAGGAGGTGCTCAAGGAGGAGGAGCCCAAGCCGGCGCTGCCACCCAAGCAGAAGCAACAGCGCGCCGCACCGCCGCCACCCGCACGCACCACTGCACCAGTTCTGCCGGCAGAAGGAGCTGAATTGCAGCCGCTTACCGCCAACGATCTAAAGTTTCTGAATTTGAGCCTGCGCCAACGCAGTTTGCCGCGCAGCATGAAGCCGTTTAAGGATCCGCATGATATTAGTTTCACTTTCAATGAGCTCAACAGCTCCAACTGCAGCGCCACGCAGCCACCGGAAGTGGTTGTCGGCATAACCGAAACGGACCAAGAAGCAGCAACAGCAGCAGGAGCAGCACGAACAACAGGAGCAAACGCATGGAGCACACAGCAGGAGTCAAATGAGTGAGTAACTTTTTAGCCCCCCCGATCAGCGATCATTTGTCAGATGCAATATCGCTGACAATTTAAATGCATAACTTGGCAAAGTGATTGCCGTTGGTTGCTGCTGGTGGTGCCCTGTGCAAATAATGATTGATTACCCGGCAGCAGCAGCGACAGCCAACAACTTGTTGCGCAAGTTGGCAGCAACAGAAGTCAATGAACACACATTGCGTGCTCTCCACACAGCCGAGCACAGCCCAGCACACAAAACCGCAAAACTGCACGCAACAGCAACGCACAACAACAACAGCAGCAACAGCAACTTGTTCTCAATGCTGTTGTTGTTGCTGCTGTCGCTGCCGCTGAAATTGAAACCAATGCGAGACGCTTGACGGTTAGCTGGGGCGCTCTTTGCTCGGCTGACTGAGCGGCCGGCCGGTTTCGCTTGTTGCTCTGTGCATGCGCATCACTCACTCAGCAACAGCAACAGCAGCAGCTGCAGCAGCAGCAACTGAGCGACAGCGACAGCGACAACGACAACAGCATTGGCATCTCATGCTCGGGTTACGCATACGCCGCATATGCTGGCAGCAACAGCAACAGCGACAGCGACAGCGACTGCCAAAGTGTGATTTACCAATGCCTTTTGTCTGGCGCGGCTCGCTTTACATAAACATGAGCAAAAGTCGCTGTTGTTGTTGCTGCCGCTGCTGCTGCTGCTGGTACGGCTCATGTCATGATTGTGCATAATGCCATGCAAATATTGTGGCCCTAAGTTATTGTGTTTGTGCAGCACGCAGCTTATGAAATATGGGCGCTGGCTGGCTGACTGTTTGGCTGCTCTGCAAGCCTTGCCCTCGCTGCCAGGGAAGAGCACATTAGAGTGGGCCGAAAAGAGCAAAACAAAAAAAAAAACAAACAATTTTGCGCAAATGCAATTGTTCTGCAGTGTCATGACATTGCCTGTTTTGGCCGTCGAGCAGTCGAATATATTGCATATATTGTTGTGCTATTGCTATTGAAGTGCAGCAGCTCTTTATGATTTACAATGCATGCGCAAAACAAAAGACTTAGGCAACGAACTTGCCCATAGGCAAAGCCAAACGGCATGTGAACGAGGAAAAAGCCAAACAGAAGCACAAAACAAAACAAAACAAAGCAAAACAAAAAAAAACACAACTCAATTAGCTGCTGCTTTTGCATTCAAGCAAAGCCAATGGGTCTAATCAATGCATTTCAAATGGGCTGACAACAGGAAAGGCCCGCCAGGGCCCATGGAAACGAGCTGAACTTAGAACGCACTCGCAAAACATAATTAATAATAATAACAGACGCCGTTTTGATGCCGCCTGACAGCCAAGAGCCAGCAGCTAAAAAGAAATTACTGTAAAGGCCAAAACAAAAAGCAAAAGCAACAAGCAAAAAAGGCGAGAGGCAAAGGAATTTCTGATTGAGAATTCAGTAGCTGCCATTTGCCACACGCGAGTCAAGCGAATTAGCCCCGCAGCCAGTTGAAGTCTCTCTCTCTCTCTCTTTCTTCATCTCACTCTCTGTCTCTTTCAACAGTTCTTAATGCACCCACTGATATATACTGCACATTTTAATTGCAACTTTTCACGACTCTTAATGAAGTTATTAAAAAATTGCCCGGCAATCATTTAAGCTGAACTCGCCAATTCCAACTGCAGCTCCGAATGGCCATCTCCAGTTGGCCATCGCATTAATGGCTGCAAGTTTTACCTGAATCTTACCGCAGTCCAGTCCACTCCAGTTGAGCCATTCGCCGCTGTGCTCAGCTCGTGTCTAAGCATTCAATTCAATCTTAACTACCATCGACAGTTGCATAAATCTCGAGCTTTACTTGAGTTGAGCTGCTCGCGCCACATAAACTATCTGTTATATAGTTGGCTAAGCAGGGCTTAAATGACTTCAGACAGACTTGGCTTTTTACGACAAGAGCGCATGCCGTTTCCTTCTTTTTAATGACAATTCTAATGTCTCTCTCTCTCTCGCTGTCTCTCGCCCTCTCTCTTTTGCTCGAAGCATAATTAGCTAAACGGCAATGTGTTAAGTGCTTAAGCATTTCGCTTAATGAGCAACTAGATAAGTTTAGCTGGAATGGCTCAATTAGTAGATATTCTGATAACTTTTCAATAATGTATGTATAATTATATATTATTATATTTTATATACATATGTAGTTTAAGAACTGCCGTGTTTTTTTGACAACTCTGATTCATATATGGGCTTGTCTATGTAGTTCAAAGAGCTTATTGTTTATTGATTTAAAGTCGTGTCCGTAGCATTACTGAACAGACTGACAGTCGAATAATAGAACATATAAGTTATATGTATGGGTGTGTGAGTGCACTTAGAGAAATGAGAAGCTTTGTAGAGCTTATTCTAAAAGCAATTCTTATATACTGCGTCAAAAATTATTTAATATCTCTATCATTTTTTTATTTATTAAAGTTTCGAGAGGTTAAATCATTCTTGTTCTCAAGCATCACGAATAGCTAATACTCAATAGTAAAATCTCAGCATGTTCAGGAATGACATAAATACATATTGATTTGAACAGACGAAGAACAATATTGAATCTTGAAAAAAGCTAAGTCAGCTAAATTATTCACGATTTTATCTGTTTCTTACCAACAAATGCATAGCCAAATACTATACCCCTTTCACACATTTCAATGCTTTCAAGAAGCTTTTCTATTTTTCTATATTTTCAAAGAATGACACAAAACCAATTTCTTAAAAAAAAGAAAACAAAACAATAAAAAACCGGGCTTTAGTTCTAGTCTAGTATACAAAAGTAAATAAGATTCCCTACACATCACATTGTCTTGGCTAAGAATCAAAGTTGCATATCTATAAGTCACTAAGAACACCGACATATAGCTTAGGTATTTCAACAGGCCTGGCTCAAGCCCAGACTAATTGTTTATTCAGTTCATTTAGACAATACAATTTATGGCCGCTTGAACTAACGCTTGGAGTAGTACAATGGGAACAGAGAGACACAGAACGATTTCTAAATATAGTCGCCGGCATTTTGTGGTAGATGATTCAAACATAAATCTGTGGCATTGCCAGTGTCAATGTGTTGGGTTGTAATACACGAAATTTCCATGTAGATGGCCATGCATAAACAATAGTTAAGAGCGAGGCGGCCATTTGTCAGGGCAAACACTTCAGCGCCTGCCAGAGAGACAAACACTTGTATTGATTTTGTTTTTAATTAAGAAAGCCATTAAGGGCACTTGGGCAACAGCAGCAACAGCGAGCAGCGGCGGCAGCAACTGTTGTTTGAGCCAAGTTCCACTGGCACATTTGCCATTTGAGCCAAAAGCGCCTGACAAATGAGTTTTGGGCGTTACTGATGCATTTCTGTGTGACTTGGCTGTTGTTGTTGCCGTGTTGCAGATGCAACTTAATTACAAAAACAAAATGCAACAAATCTTGTGAGTGCATGCAACTGGCATAGCCAGCCAGACAATTGGCCAGCTTGCCAAACAGTTGCCTGCCAAGTGCCATTTGCAAAGGTGGAGACTGCAACTCCAACTCCGACTCCGACTCCGACTGAGAGGCAGACCGTGGCAGACGGCGCCAGAGTGGAGCACAACAACAAGTGAGCCGCCTCTTGATTTATTTATGCAAAACGATAAAATATGATTTTGTCCCTGTGAAAATAAGGCAGGCCATTAAAGTCATGTTGTTCCTTGAAGAAATGAACGCCTCAGCACTTTACGCACTCGGTCTCTTTCTGGCGCGCATGTTTGCCATGCTAATTACTTTGGCCAGCACAACAGGGCTCGCACTTATATACATACATATATCTATATATGTATATACATGTATTTGTAGCTTACACAACAATTGCGTCGCATATTAATTGTGTATTCGGTTAAAGCGTGATTTCTCAGCCGCGATAATGGCCATAAGCTGAAGTTGCCCTTCCACGCGTTTCGGCGCATTTCTTAAGCGCTTAAGCAGCTGTCAAAGTGTCCAAACTCGAATCACTTGGGCCATGTCCGATTGCCAGATATCCGAGGGTATCAAAAGAAATTGAAATCGGTTGCTCGCATCGAGAGCTGAGTGCGTGAGCGAGGCACAGAGAGCAAGAGATTTTTGAAATGTTTTGGAAAAATGAATAGACAATATTTTCTATTGGAAACGTGTCATCAATGGCTGTTGATCTATTTCTGTAGTTCCTCTACTCCCACAAAATATATATGAAATAAATATTTGTAATATATAAAATATATATTTTATTTACAACAAAATTTTCTGCTGCCTCTATATAAATCTCTGATCTATTCTGTTCTATCTATTTCTCCATCTCCAGCTCCATTTAATCTAAAAAAATCCTACATATACATTTTCTGGCATAAAATAGTATTCGACACCTTTGGAATATTTGGTTTCAATTTCAGTTCGTGCCTTGTCGTGTCACGCTTTCATCTCTAGCCAAACTCACAGAATTCCTGCCATTCTGCCAACTCATGATACATTTTGTTTAGCTTCAACATGTCTGCGCCCACGTTAGCCAATTGGTCATGGATATTTTTTGTGATACATACACACACACGCACACACACACACGCACACGTAGACAGCATGCGATGAAGTGCGTATTTTGGCATTATGCAGATCTGTTTGGCCGCCTTTTGTTGCCAAAAGTTGACAGCTGAATGACATGCGCCGCACTCAAAAATATTTCATTGTTACAATTATTTCTCTCCTCTCTCTCTCTTTCTCCCTTATTGTTTGTGTTGCTTAAGTGGCAGGCATGCGGCTACAAATCACTTAATGCATTTCTCTCGCTAATTAATTAAACATTTAGCGCATACACACGCACAACATGCTGGCTATAAATTTATTGCGCGATAACCGGAGCCAATGAAAATGAGTAAAAAAAAAAAAAAAGAAAAAAAAGAGCTGCGCGTAATTTTCATTGACAGCTTCACTTTGGCGAGCCTTTGCATTTAAATTGCCTGCATGCCACTCGCTGAGGC